AGGCGCCAGCCGAGCGCGGGGAATCCGTGTGCATGGAACGGGCGCGCGCCCCGGCCCTCCCAGACACCCGGACACCAATGCTCCTCTCGCGGAGGCCGGGAGACCGCCTCTCTCTGCTCCACTCAAGGCTCCGTCCCAGATCCTATCCGTGTCCGCGGCTAGACTCGGGGCGGCAGTGAGAAAATGAGGGGTTGCGGGAAAGGAGGAGGGGCCTTTGTCCTCCCCACCCGGCGTAGGGGCTTATTCAGTCCCCTTCGCGGCCAGGCCCTCCATGACCGTTGCTCGGTCTCACCTTCCCCCTTCCCGCCCCCCCCCCCAGGGCCCAAACAGCGTGGTCCGTCTTCTGTCTTTGTTGTGAAACGTGAACCTTCCCCAGCTCCGGTTTCCCTGTAACCCAAGCCCTTCTCCTCCCACCCTGCGCGTCGGCCTCCTACTCCTCAGACGCCCGGGGAGGAGGGGGGTCGGGGGAGGGCACCGGGAACTGAGCGGGCGACTACCTCCTTACTCTCTCCAAAGCCACTCGGCTCCTTTCAGGCCGACTCAGGAGACTTCAGGCAGCCTGGTAGCTCAGCCTCCGGGGCCCTGAGGCCGAGGAGTTGGGAGAGGAGGGCCGCCTCCCCCCGAAAGCGGCAAGCTTGAGCCTTTAGTCAGTGGTACTGCAGAGGCTCCTCCCTGGGGCCCTTGGGTGGTCTCAGAGAGGAGGTTTCATAACCCCCTGAAATGGTGCACAGGAACTTGGGCTGGGAAAAGGTGGGGAGGCAGTGGGCGGCTTGTGCTTCCTCCGAGCACTTTGCAGCCGGCTCCGTGCAGGAATCGGGCTGGCCAGCGGGGAAACAGCACTCGGGACCACAACTCACAATCCTTTCTCCGGCCAGCGAATCTGATGGGAACCCCACTACGGAGGACGAGTCCAGCCGCAGCCCTGAGGACCTGGAGAGGGGGGCGGTTCCAGTGGCGGCCGAGGCCCCCGCCCAGGGCTCCATATTCCTGGCCGGGGCCGCCCCTCCCGCGCCGTGTCCCGCCTCCTCCTCCATCCTGGTGAACGGGAGCTTCCTGGCCGCCGGCAGCTCTCCAGCGGTGCTCCTCAATGGGAGCCCCGTCATCATCAACAGCCTGGCCCTGGGCGAGGCCTCCAGCCTGGGCCCCCTGCTGCTCGGCGGGGGCGGGGGCGCCCCTGCACCGCAGCCCAGCCCCCAGGGGGCCAGCGAGGGCAAGACCTCCCTGGTCCTGGACCCTCAGACTGGGGAGGTTCGCCTGGAGGAGGCTCAGCCTGAAGCCCCTGAGACCAAGGGGGCCCAGGTGGCTGCTTCAGGGCCGCCTGGAGAGGAGGTACCAGGGCTTCTGCCCCAAGTGGTGCCTGGCCCCCCGCCGGCTGCCACCTTTCCTCTGCCCCCAGGACCAGTGACTTCCGTGGCTGCTCCACAAGTGGTGCCACTTTCCCCACCCTCTGGCTACCCTGCTGGCCTGGGCCCCACCTCCCCACTGTTGAACCTGCCCCAGGTGGTGCCCACCTCCCAGGTGGTGACCTTGCCTCAGGCTGTGGGGCCACTGCAGCTGTTGGCAGCTGGGCCAGGCAGCCCCGTGAAGGTGGCAGCTGCCCCGGGCCCTGCCAACGTGCACCTGATAAACTCTGGGGTGGGCGTGACTGCCCTGCAGCTGCCTTCGGCCACTGCCCCAGGTACCCCTTTCTGGTGGCTGGGCGGGGGGTACAGTTACCTCAGGGAGGGATGGCGCTGTCAGTGGGCTTCCTGGGGCAACGGTGGGGAGTGGGGAGCTCATCCCCAGCGGGTCCCAGACCCTCCCGTGCCAGGCAGTACCCTGAGGCTCGAGCCACGCAGACTTGGTCTCACCCTGACCCTGAAGGGGCTCCTTTTGCCTCTGGCTGATCTCCCTGCCTGCTCTCCAGCGGCGTACTCTTCACCTCTGCTCCTGGCCCCTCTCCTCTCCCCACAGGAAACTTTCTGCTGGCCAACCCCGTGTCTGGCAGCCCCATCGTGACAGGTGTGGCCGTGCAGCAGGGCAAGATCATCCTCACCGCCACCTTCCCCACCAGCATGCTGGTCTCCCAGGTCCTGTCACCGGCCCCCAGCCTGGCCCTGCCCCTGAAGCCAGACGCGGCCATCTCAGTCCCCGAAGGAGCCCTCCCGGTGGCCCCCAGCCCCGCTCTGCCGGAGGCCCACGCCTTAGGCGCACTGTCTGCGCAGCCGCCCCCCGCCCTGGCTGCCGCCAGCCTGCCCTTCTCCCCAGACTCCTCCGGCCTCCTGCCCAGCTTCCAGGCGCCCCCGCCCGAGGGGCTCCTGCTGTCGCCTGCGGCAGTGCCCATCTGGCCAGCCGGGCTGGAACTGAGCGCCGGCACTGAGGGGCTGCTAGAGGCAGAGAAGGGGCTGGGGACGCAGGCCCCCCACACGGTGCTGAGGCTGCCGGACCCCGACCCCGAGGGGCTGCTCCTGGGGGCCACGGCGGGGGGCGAGGTTGATGAGGGGCTAGAAGTGGAGACCAAGGTCCTGACCCAGTTACAGTCAGTGCCTGTGGAAGATCCCTTGGAACTGTGACCCACCGGGCCCCGTGGCCTCCCCTGACCATGGTGCTCGAGGACAGCCCGGGGGGGGGGGGGG